TACCCAGACTTGGAAGCAGCCGGTGGCATTCTTCTCAAAGCAGTTAGACCCAGTCACTGGAGGATGGCCGGCATGTCTTTGGGCAATGGTGGCAGCAGTATTAATCATCAAAGAAGCCAAGAAACTCACCCCTGGCCAACCTCTCTGGGTGACAGTGCCCCACTCGATTATGACCATCTTAGAGCAGAGAGGGTTGCATTGTATCTCCCTGGGACGAACGACTCATTACCAAGTGGTACTGTTAGGCGACTCAGCCATCACCCTATGAGAAACCACTGGTTTAAACCCAGCCACCCTACTGCCCACCTTGCCAAAGCAAGAAAAGGAACATGATTGCCTAAAGACCATTGGCCTGGTGTAAGCCAGTCAGCCTGACCTCACTGACCAGTCACTCCAAAACCCAGACCTTGAAATGTTTACTGATGGAAGCAGTTACATGGAACAAGGAGAAAGAAAAGCTGGATATACGGTGGCCACTTTGAAGGAGGTTCTAGAGGCTAACGCATTTCCCCCAGGTACCTTTGTCCAGAAGGCCGAGCCCACTGCCTGCTACAGGCCCTTAAAATCGCCAAAGGTAAGTGAGCAACTATTTATACTGATTCCAAGTACATATTTGGGGTATTGCATGCACATGGGGCAATCTGGAAGGAAAGGGGGCTTCTAATAGCAGGAGGTAAAGACATTAAATATTCTTAAGAGATCTTACAACTTTTACAAGCTGTTCTCCTACCCACCCAAGTAGTGGTAGTACACAGCAGAGGGCATCAGAAAGGGGATACCACAGTGGCCAAAGGTAATTACAAAGCAGATGTAGCAGCAAAGAAAGCTGCAATCCAACAGAAACCTATTGTAGTAGCCCTGCTAATTCCCCCTTTAGAGTTACTGCCACCTGACCTCCACCTGGACTATTCCCAACAAGATAAAGACATTGCAAGACATGGGGAGCCACTCTAAACAAGGATGGATGGCTGTACAACCCCTATGGAAAGCTTTTCATTCCATCAAAACTCATGCACCATATCCTACAGAGAGCCCACCAGTCCACCCATTATGGATGCGATGGACTATATGATTGGATTAAAAAAACAGAAACCAAACCCATTGCCATCGAGTGAATTCCAACTCATAGTGACCGTATAGGACAGAGTAGAACTACCCCATAAAATTTCCAAGGAGCGGTTGGTGTATTTGAACTGCTGACCTTTTGATTAGCAGCCAAGCTCTTAACCACTGTGCCACCAGGGTTCTATGATTGGGTTAAGAGACACTTAATTGGACCAAAGGACTGTACCACTATTTTGGCAGTGGTAAAGAGCTGCCACACCTGTGTGAAAAATAATCCCCAAAACATGACTGAAGTGCCCCCAGGGGTCCTGTGAACTGGGGCAATGCCTAGAGACGACTGGCAGGTACATTTCACTGAGACGCCTTGAGCTCCTGGCAATTACAAGTATCTGTTATTCTTTATTGACGCCTTCACTAATTGGGTTGAAGCTTTTCCTTGCAGGACTGAAAAGTCCACCGAGGTTGTGAAACACCTCCTGAACAAAATCATCCCTCAATTGGGCTTCTCGTCTGCATTGGCAGTCACAATGGGCCCCATTTTGTGGCCTTAGTAGTGCAATTGGTGGCATCCACCGTAGACACTAATTGGAACTTACACACAGCCTGGAGACCCCAGTCCTTTGCCTGGTCTGCACAGTAACTTTACATTAAAATCCTGGCAATGCGTAAAGTTATATGTGAACCCCATTGTGCCTGCATAGTATGATTAAGAATGTTGCCGGTGTAACTTGTGTGAACTTTCTACTTGTAAACCTCTTAAAAGTAACCTTTATCCTCACTCTGGAGGAGCAGTTGTGGCGGCAGCAACCCCGACTGCTTCCTTTCCTTGCACAACAAAATAAAGGCACCTTTCTATTCTCCTACCTTGGTCTCTCATTTGTTGGCATCAAGCAGAACCTGGGGTTTCCACCCAGCAACAATGTAACTGTATATTTGAGTGTGTGAGTGTATATGCATGTTAGGGTACATCTGTATGTAAGTCTAAGTGGGTAAATGTGTTCACGTTTGTGTGTGTGTGTCTGTAGCATGAGTTGTCAACCATTCTGCCGCCAATCCCTTACTTGAAAATTAGGAGGAGTGAATAGAGGACCTAGACCAAACTATGGATTTGTTTGTAGAGAAAACCAACAACAAAGAATTAAACTGAACTCATAATTTACATTTCATAATTAATTACAAAAGAAGCCGTTGCTCATTACTGAATATTCTCCAAAAAACAAAAAAACCTGTGGGAACTATCCAGTACTTTTTAATTGAGAAAGTAGCCTTGACTTAGCTGATAGATAATGGTAGAATGTGTTAAACATCTGACCCTTTGCATTAATTTGAGAGTGGCTCATTTATAATCTGCTCTCTTTCTTCTATAGATATGTTTATTTTTACTTCCTTTCACTACTGGGGATGAATACTGGCAAAGTATATTTTTTCTAAAACTTCCATATTATTTGGCATTGAATCATGCAAATGAGTCAGACTTAGTTGGAATTGTTTGTGAAAATGAGTCCTATGGTTTCCAATGTAAATTATAGTCATCTACTTTCTTTTACTTGCATTCTTTGAAAACCTATCTCATGTACTTGGTCTCATTCCATTCCTCACATGCAATGACACAAAGGTGCACCTCTGTCCTAGGGTAAAAACACCACAAAGTTTAGTAAAGCAAAAGAAAAGTTTTATTTGGCATATATTGAAAGAGGCAAAAGTAGGAAATGGACAAGCATGCTGCCAGATCTATGTCTGCCCGAGTGCAAGGAATATTACAGAATAGACAAAGTGGCAAAATGGACAAGCATGCTGCTAGAGCCATGTCTTCCCCAGTCCAAGGAACATTACAGAATCATCAGTATATATTAACAGTACAAATGGGCAAAACCATTGAAAGCTTCACCCTTTCACAGACTGGCTAAAAACTGTTGAGTCACCGTGAGTCTACATTTTGAACGGTCCTTCTTAATAATCATTGGTACAGGTGTCAGTAACGACAGTCAGGAAGGTCTTCATTGGTTCAACAAATCTTACTATTCACTAAATGCTAATAGAAACAAGATAAGAGTGTAAAATATGTGAGTTTTTTGTGCTGTTTATGATTTATTTATGTGAAAGTTTCCCTAAAAGATGTTTTCCAAGATTGTCCTAGCTATTGTCTTTATACCTTAGGGCCGAGTTGATGTGCCCGTGTGAGTCCTGCTCCAACTGGGTCACATTCTTTATCCTCAAGGACAGGGAATAATCGTTCCAACACTACCTCCTAAATCATCTCGTGTTTTGAAGATTGAGAGAGAACTTGATTTTGAGTTGAAAAACTGCTCAGGGGAGCAGAGCATCCAGTGAGAGACACCTGCTTTGCTGCCAGTCCCCCATGTATCAGACTTCAGCATTTCCTTCTCCCTCCATGTGAGACTCTGTGCCTCCAGGGATCCTGGAAAGAAAGAACCTCTCCAATACTCCAACGGTCTCTTTGGAGATGCTAACTAGAAGCATGTTGTTGCTTTTGGTAATTAGCAACTGGGAAATAAGTTTTTGAGAAAAGTTCTCAGCTCCCCAAGCCTGCACCATCACTGCCACTAGAGGTGAAATGATAACTGCAGTTCTGTGGGGAGGTGAGGTCACAGAATCACAAACCCATATCTCAGAGTCTGGCTGCCTCTCTCACATGTACTGGCCATCATGACCTTCACACTGAGCCCATCATCTTGACAGTGAGAAGGAGCTGGGTGAGTATTTTCTATTTGAGTCTGAGAAGAAGAGTCTGTAAGGGAAAAGGCATACCAAGAGTCTGGGAAGTGATTATGTGGGAAAACGGGATCCTTATGGGTATGAACCTGGTCCAGTGACAAAGCCACACTGGAAGAAAAAATAATTCCTGAGCCATGAGATGTCTCCTAGACCCTATGCCAATCCCTGATGGCTTCTAATGAAATTTAATGTAATCCTCACTGACAGTGATTGTTGGCATACAATCCAAATTATAATGAAACCTGATTGTTAAGGGGTTTAAAGACTGTTATTCTGAAATCAATCTGCTGCTCATCCTACCTCACAAGAATCATAGATTACTGGAGATCTGCTTATTATTCTCTCTGCTTGCATTAAAGAGTAGGATGAATCTACAGGATTCATCTAATCCTGTGCAGAAAAGGTCACCACAGGGAAATAGCTTGAGTAGAAATATTTTCTTCTAACTCTGGGTATACGATGCAATTAATGAAGACAGTAGTTGTGTCTTACTGAAAACATACAAGGCCTGTTAATGATTGTGAAATGATTTTCCCTTTTGAAGTTAGGGAAGCAGCATTTAAGGGAAAGTTAACATAATTAGGGGTTTCAGAGAGAAGCCAACAGGCTCTTCCATATCTTGTAATATTTTCACTGGTTTAATAATATTCTCATGTCAATCCAAAATTCTGCTATTTCAACTTATAAAATTCACAAGATTTCACACTGTACACATACCATTTTTGCATATGTCTTATATTTTAATATAATTCACAAATCTTGACTCATTACTAATAGTTTTACTTAACTCAGGTATTAATAAAAGTTGGAGCTCTGGTGGCACAGTGGTTAAGAGCTTGGCTGTAACCAAAAGGTAGGCAGTTCAAATCCACCAGCTGTTCCTTGGAAACCCTATGGGGCAGTTCTACTCTGTCCCATAGGGTTGCTATGAGTTGGAATCGATTCGATGGCAGAGAGTTTTTGTTTTTTGTTTTTTTGGTTATATGATTTGGAATTAATAATAATTTGGTTTCTACCATGCACAATTTAAGCGTATGTTAGTATTTCATGTCCCATAATTTAGGGCATGATATTGTTACTCAGCTTAAGTTCTGGGTTCCGGCCCGGTGCGACTTTCGCCAATAAAGACAACACCAGGGTGAGGAACAAAGAAAGGATTTATCCCTAGCTTGTGCACAAGCTGAGGCAGAGAAGAATGCAGGCCTCAGATTTTGCCTGCCTTGGGTTACACAGTCAGATCTTTTATACTTTGAGGAAGGAGGAAGTTCTTTTTCTTTTTTCTCATTCAAAAATTTATTCACATATTGTTTTGTGTTATCGGTTGCAATCCCCACAAGGGGACAGCACGTTCCCCCTTTCTACTCCAAGTTCCCTGTGTCCATTCATCCAGTTCCTGTCCCTTCCTGCCTTCTCATCCTGCTTTTGTACAGGAGCCACCCATTTGGTCTCATAGGAGGAAGTGCTTAACAAATCATACAACTACAGGTCTGTACATTTTCTAACATACTACCCAAGCACAATACAGTCCTAATCTCATTGTAATGTTAGCGTGTCTCATTATTCTGTTAAGTCTACGCCTAGGAGAGTGATTTTTACTGTGCTAATGAGCCCTTTTCTGACCTTTGTGCTCAAGATTCTGGTTCAAGGGTTAATATTTGACAGTTGGCCTGTTGTGGATATTGTTCTGAAAGTTTAACAGGGAGTTATTTGTTTTGTTCTTAGCAAGCTTTGTGTAAACTAGGCTCTTTTAGACATACTAATGGTATCAATATGAGATTGTCCAATAATTCCTGTGATAGGTGCCGATGTATTTTGTTCCTGGCATAAAAGTAAATGAGTCATTCTGTTGCCATTCTAATATCCAGCCAATCTTGGTTTCATTAAATCCAATCTGATCATGGGGCAGGTTCCTGTATTATTCTACTGTTATCAATGCATCTACATTTATTAAGATATCTAAATTGTTGTACAACTTGAAGATTGTGATGCATGTCACTGAATTGTTCATGTAGAAATCTTGAGATGGTGTATTTTTATGCATATTTTCACCACAATAAAAAAGATATCTAAAGCCGTATCCAAAATTGATATTGGCTTATCAAATAAATCTTCACACATAAATGGAAACTTGTTACATAAAAATGATATAATACCACCCATCTAAAATAAAATAAGAAGGTGTAAAAACGAGACTAAATCTAGATCTACATTATTTGAAGAACACAGCTAACTAGTAACTCCTGGGTCGTGCTGATGTTTAATCACATAGAGGTGCTTTGGAAGAGAGGCCTGATGATCTGCTCCCGAAAGGTCACAGCCTTGAAAACGCTATGGAGAAATTCTATTCTGCACACATGTGGTTGCCATGAGTAGAAGTTGACTCGATGGCAACGAACGACAACAACAATAGAGTAGCAAGCTAGTTAAATGCACTATGTTTGTTACCAGCCTAGCCACTTTCAAGTCCCCTTCCTGCCCCTAACCTGTCTGTGAATTTGACAAATCTCTTAACTTCTTGGTGCGGTAGTTCGCCTCATCTTTATAATGAAAGTAACAGTAGTGCCTGCCTCATAGATTTGTGAAGAATAGAGAAATTACCATATGTATGATTTATACACTATAAATACTCTTCAAAGATTATACACACAACTCTTGGAAAACCCATTAATGAAAGAAAAGCATTGAATGAATATTTCTAAGTCAGGAGTAATATTAAGTGGAGAATAGTGGATTTCGGTTGACATGATTCATGTGGCCCATGTCTCATCTTCCCATGTAGGACCCTCTGGCTCTGAAGACAAATATCAGTCACTGGGAGATGGCAGAATGGCTGCCAGGGATTTTAGCAATAGGAATGATTTTCCTATCACAGACTATATTGGGAATCCTGGGAAATTTCTCTCTTCTTTACCATTATATTTTCCTCTACTTCACTGGATGCAGGTTAAAATCCACAGACTCAATTCTCAAGCATCTGATTGTTGCCAACTTCTTGGTCATTCTCTCTAAAGGAATCCCCCGGACGATAACAGCTTTTGGATTGAAAGATTTCCTCAATGATTTTGGATGCAAACTTATTTTCTGTGTTCACAGAGTGGGCAGGGCTGTGTCCATTTGCAGCACCTGCCTCTTGAGTGTCTTCCAGGCCCTCACCATCAGCCACAGGAACTCCAGGTGGGCAAAGCTTAAAGGAAAATCTCCCAAGTACACTGGCTTCTCTGTGTACATTTGCTGGATCCTCTACATGCTGGTAAATACGATTTTTCTTATGCATATGACTAGCAACTGGAGGAACAACAACATCACAAACAGAAAAGAGTTTGGATACTGTTCTTCTGTGCTTCATGACAAAACTACAGACTCACTCTATGCAACATTGTTATTATTCCCTGATGCCATGTGTATGGGACTCATGATCTGGGCCAGTGGCTCCATGGTTTTCATCTTGCACGAACATAAGCAACGGGTCCAACACATTCATAGGAACAATGTCTCCCCACGATCCTCCCCTGAGTCCAGAGCTACCCTAACCATCCTTGTCCTGGTGAGCACCTTTGTGTCATTTTACACCCTGTCCTCCATCTTTCAAAGTTTTTTGGCTCTTTTTTATAATCCAGGTTGGATGCTAGTGAACATCTCTGCATTGATCTCTGGGTGTTTCCCAGCTGTCAGCCCCTTTCTTCTCATGATTCATGACTCCAGTGTATCCATGCTCTGTTTTGCCCGGATAAGGAAGAAAAATCCTCTACCCTTGGGAGGAAAATATAAATTGTATGTTTTTGCACAGTATTCAGTTGTTTACTCACTCATCCCCCACAGAATCTTAAACACAATATGATAGTCATATTACAAGAGACTGATGGGATACATGTTTTGGGACCAAGAACTTGGTTTGGCCTTTTGACTCTGGTTTCTGAAAATAACCCCAGCAATCAAGATGCCTTTGTTTTCCAAAATAGCCAGGCAAGTAGGGGCTGCACAGGCCCCACACCTGGGGAACCAACTTCAGGAAGGAATGGGGACCTAATGAAGTCATGCATAGTCATTGGTTGGATGGATCATAACTATGCATGAAAGCTCAAGTCGTGCATATTCAATGATATCCCAAAGACTAGGGGACCTGGGACCTGGGAGTGCTCTCTTAGGGACCTCCAGAGTTGGTGAGAACATCCATACATGGGTGAAGGAGCGGCACGTTCCTGGGGACAATGTAGGCCCTGTGCCGGGATCTCTCCCAGACATTTCCTGATGCATCTCTTCATTTGTATCCTTTCTGGTTATAATAAATGGGTAACTGTAAGTATAGGTAATAGTTTCTGTGAGTTCTGTGATTGTGGCCAATTATGGAACCCACCAGGGGGAGTGAAAACCAGCAGAGAGGCTGGCATTTGCCTATTTGGCAGGGGCTGGAAAGACAGAATACTAACTTGTGGAGACCTAGCTCTGGGTGGTTAGGGTCAGAGAGAGAAAGTGCCATGTGGGCAGGTGGTGTCAGAATGATGAAGTGGGAAAATGGGGATAGTGTTATCTTCACATTTTGGAAATTACCCTCATGTCAGGTATTATTCATACGCACATAAACATACATACATTTGTACATAGATAAATATGTGTGTGTGGATACGTATGCATACCAGTCAGATTATGTTTGTTATCCATCCAGCAATAATATTGGAAAATTGTACACTAAGAAATGTAAAATATAAAGTTTTATCATGAAATCTACTTATCTGATATTCACCCTGCCATGCTAATTGATTAATTGGTTAAAATTACATGGAATGTGTGTGTTATTTATCCGTTTTAATTCGTATGTTTTAGCTCTGCGTCTTCAAAAAATATCCAACTGAATAGAGTCAAACAAATGGCCAGACTCATGGGGTCATGACAACTGGGTGGCCCTGGAGACCAAGAGCTCGCGGTCGAAGGCAGAGTTGGAGGCCAACCTTGCTTTAAGGACAGCGGCCAAGGGCCCAGGAAGCACGGCACCTGGAAGCCAGGCTGCACCGGAGGACAGATCCCATGGATGTAGTTTTTATTTTATTTTATAATTAATTTATTTTATTGTACTTTTCCGGCAGTCCCCGGGTTACGAACCTCTGACTTACGGACACCTCGTATTTAAGAATGAACTGCCATAAAGCCTATTATATTAAAAATTTGAGTTAAATACAATGGTTCCTAGTATGCGTGCATGCACTACTTTGTGACGTCCATAAAAACATTGCACAGTTTGGAAGTATTTCTAAGTGTTTTATACGCATAAAACCCCAAAACCAAACCCACTGCCATCGAGTAGATTCTGACTCATAGTGACGCTATAGGACAGAGTAGAACTGCCCCATAGGGTTTCCAAAGAAGCAGACTGCCACATCTTTCTCCCTCGGAGCCGCTAGTTGGTTCCAACCGCTGACCTTTGGGTTAGCAGCCGAGGGCTTTAACCAACGCACCACCGAGGCTCCTCCTATATGTGTAGAAAGGTAAAATATATACTGTATGCTAAGACAAACATTTGACTAACAGGCGCTAAATGAGAACCGTATGTACCTGTTCCAACTTACACACAAATTCAACATAAAGACAGACTTAGGAACGTGTCTCGTTCATAACCTGAGGACTACCTGTATTTTATATTTAATTTTATTTTATATTAACATTTTATTTCATTTTATATTTTTGTTTAAGTTTATATTCATATTTTACTTGATTTTATATTATTTTATATTTTTCTATTGATTTTATTTTATTTTATATTTTATGTATTTTATTTTAGTGAAAATACACCCAACAAAACACATCCAACTCAACAATTTCTACATGTATAATTCAGTGACATTGATTACATTCTTCAAGTTGTACAACAATTCTTGCTGTCCTTTTCCAAATTATTCCACCACCATGAACATAACCACAGATGTATTTATTGTGCAGGCCACAGTAAATTCTATTCTATTTCACCAAATACAGTCATGCATCGCATAACATCCGTTCTGGCAACATCTGACTGCATATACGTCTGAGGTCCCATAAGTTCAGAAATCCTGACCGGAGAACGGGACATAATGGACATAACCCGACGTAGTGAACACAACAGCTTCCCGCATGCAACACGTGTTCATATCTAATGTCAGTTAGCCAAATGTTTGTCTTGGTATATAGTGTACTTTTCAATGCATAAAAACATTAAAGAAACACTTCCAGATACACTAAAACATCTTAAACACAATAATACAATACTAATAATGTTGTTATACACGTCGCAAAGTAGCACCCATCTGTTACTACAAACCATTGTATTACCTTGAATTTTTAAGATAATAGACTTTATGCAGTTTGGTTCGTAATTATGGGTTGTACATAAGTCGGCCATTCATAACCTGGGGACTGCTTGTATATAATATAGTGTTCACACAATGTCCAAATCACATAACGTCCTATTTCACAGAACGTATTATGATGTTAAGCAACGTACGACTTTAATAATAATAATAGCTGGAAGAAGGAGAAGGTAAATAGATTAGAAAAGGAGCCCTGCAACTTCTGTCCGGAGGTGAGACGGGAAGGCAGAGAGGGTTAGGAGCTGGTTGAATGGACATGGGGAATCAGGGGTGGAAAGGAGGAGTGTGCTGTCACAGTGTGGGGAGAGCAATTAGAGTCACATAACAATGTGCATATAAATTTTTGTATGGG